AATGGATTGCTTGGTTAGTGTGTTTGAAAATTCGGTTTTTAAATTTGGTTTAATAATTAAACATTTTCAGTAGTTTACATTGCGCACGGAGAATTTTTTTTTCCCAGTGGTAGTAAACTTTTGTTTGGCAAATATGCAGTATCCTTAGCAAGGGCTAAGGAAAAGGTTTCTATGTTTAGAACCAGAAAAGCAGGAGATGTTCAATGAACCTTTTATTAGTTTCTGAAATAGTTTTATCCATCTAACTTATGGTTGCATTTCTTAATCCGAATCAGGGTAGTGAACTAGCTGTTCCTTCAAGATTTGAGGATTTCCCGTCATCCCCAACATGCCCTTTGTCTCCTAACAATTCTTTGCAAGACAGAGAGAACAAAAACAACTGTATGGTTTTGAGTTCCTATTGTATCACTAGATATACAAAGGTCAGTTGAAGCCCAATCAGTTGAAGGAGTATAATACTACTCGCTGATCTTGGAAATGAAACGTTTACAAGCTACATGGCCCTGGTAAATATATTTTCTCCATTCCCTATTTTATTTCCCTGCTGATTCGACATTTAACTACGGACACCATGGGTTGAACCAGCTAACTGAAGCAATGCAAGGTTAAGGAATGACTACTGAGCAGCAGCACTGGTAAAGGTTTCAAACTTTCTTTTAATTCTTCGTATTTATTGTTCAATTTTTGTTCAGCTCTTCGGCCATGAATTGATAATTTTTACCTTTGCTGGTAAATTTTTTGAAGTCGACTATGGTTTTTTTTCTTGGTTTGTTTTTGCTCCTCAAACACGCCCAAAATCACTCTCACACGTCGAAGAAAAATTCCCTTCTAGTGTTTCAATTTTTCTGATTTTGATTAGAACGCAGGCAGCAGGATAAAGAATTGGACGAACTCAGTGCCAGTGTCCAAAGAATTGGAGGTGTTGGGCTCACTATACATGATGAACTGACTGCACAGGTAATTGTTATCTTAAGCACCACATATATTTAAAAGAGAAATGATCTGTAAGATTATAAAAATCTGCTCTTATGTTGAATCTGCAAATGATTTAACGACATTGTTCATACAAATTTTTAGTTAGATGACAGCCTCCAAAATAGTCTTCTTTATGTAATGGCAGAGTCTTATGGAGGAAAATATGCAATACGGGCAGCAAAATTAAGGCTCAAGTTTGTAGGTAATCATTATTTTTTTCTCATTTTTTAATAATGGTTAGCAAAGTACTTCTATTATTTTTACAATTTCAAGTGTCTCAGTAAATGTTTCATCTGAAAATTAAATGCAGGTATTGACTTCTTCCAATTGAGCATATCTGAATCAGCTACACAGAGGAAGAAAATGAGAATTTCCCTTCTTCACGTCAATACAAAATCT